GGGGGGGGGGGCATTTTACCTTTTGCTGGCTTTATGGTCTTTGCTCGAGCAAATAAACAGTTGTCTTTCTTTACCCGCGTTGTCTGTCAATCAAATTACAGCTAGACAACGAACCTTAGGGAGATTTCTCCCACCACACTGTGGCTTATGTTTAGTGCTTCTGAGCACATGCTACGTAGCACTATGATATGTCTCTGTACAGAATTCCACATAAAGTGCAATTGATTCTGTTCTAGTCCCATTATATTTTTGTGTTTGAAGGTACCTTGGTCATTTTTTCTGAGTTACTCTAAGTTGGAAGTTGAGGTTATTCACATTTCTCATTTTACCTATCAAATTTGGAGATGGGCAAAACTTGATTCATATTTACTTTATACTTCTCTTTCCTACAGTTTGTGGCTTTTACTATTCAGAGGGTCGCTCCCTACAGGATCACTATTTCACATTTAAGAACTAGTAGTTTTACGATTTCACAATCATTGTCTGAAGTATAACCTTTCTATTGCACAATCATAAAAGGATATTTTTAGGAGCACTAAAATCTTGGTCAGTGAGATAGATACTAAGCTGAAGTTTTCTGTCTGCATTGTCTAGCCTTCAGTACAAGTATCCTATTCTGGCTAAAATGTCAAAACAGGCCTAAAAATTAAGTGTGCAGCAGCTGTGAATAAAAAGCCTTGTGTTCATGAGAGAAATATATGTGGGGGTGGGATACAAGATCTAACTGGATAGGACTAGTTTATCTCTCTTGTGAAAGCAGAAATCATGCTATAATGTGATCTTAAGGCACCGATTCCCTGTAACAGGTAAGGATCCATTTCCGAGTTTTTATAAATTCCTCAGTGGATTGCAAGCATACAGTATATTTTACATGTTGTAATGTAAGGAAAAAAATAATTCTGAGTATAAGTTTAAGATTGATTGTGAAAAAACAGCAATGGCCAAATCTCCACAATGGAAGAATTATCTTGTGCATCCAGGTCAGACTCTACTAAAAGAGCCTGCAAGGGTAGAAACTATATGCAGTGAGACTGAGGAACAGCAGAGGAAGGAAGATGGAGGAAATAGAAGAACTGAAAATAGTAGCTCAAGGAATACTGTTCTCCCTTTTCTACTTTACAAGTCCCTTTGGATCCCTATACCCCACTCTCTGTTTCAGTGATCTGACTCTGGTGGAATATTGGATGCATTCCAGCGTACTTTTTACTGTCAATGGATCACTGAAAGATTATTTGTCATAGGAATCATAGAACTGGAAAGACTGGAAACCATTTTATGACAGAACACCCTTGAAGCTCTGTTCTAAGTCAGGTGTTTTTGATAAACATGTTTAAGACTTCCCATCATCAACTAGACTATGTCTTTTCTGGCTAGTTTATTAATTGCTAGCATCTCCATTGCCACAGACTTAAGGCCTCCAAAATAAACCATAGTCTGTTTATGCACTACTGAAGCAGATTGAAATGAAGCAGTTTCCCTCCTGCCCCCATGTCTTTAATGGGTCTACAAAAGTGGTGCTCAACTTTTTCCCTTGGTGAGCTGGATGGGTAGTGCTCAGTCCATCTGTAGGCTGGATCCAGCTGGTGGCTCCAGTCTGGCACCTACTATGGGTACAGTGGGGCTCCATCCAGCTGTGTGGAGGGGGGCAGGGGCAGCCCAGCTCCAATCCAGCCATGTTGGGTTAGGGGACGTGGCCTGGCCATAACCTGGCCCGATGGGGGGAGACGGCATGGCCCAGCCCCAAACCAACTGCCTGGGGAGAAGAGGGTGTGGCCCAGCCCCAATCTGGCTATGCAGGGGGATGGAGCATGTCCTGACTGACTCACCACGCAAGGCTTGGGAATTTGGCAGTGAGGGAGGGTAGCAGTCTTAATGGCCACTGCTCCCCCACCACTAAATTTCCTACCCTGTTGGCCAGATGTCATGGCCCCAAGGGTTGCATTTGATCCATGGGCTGAAGGCTGAGCACCCCTGGTCTACAACATCAGCCATTTTCTCCCATAATATTTCAAAATACACTTTATTTTTTATTGCTTTTTTATTGGTATTGCTTGTTTCTACCCAGAGAGGATAGCTGAAGGAGAGAAAATAAGGCAATGAAAATTACAGAAATTATCTTGAGTTTTCTTGAGAACGGTTAAAGATCAGTTCTGTTAAAATTGGCAATTGACAACAACTAGCTGAGTATTCTTTTTGATACTGCATTTGAGTACATCTGGGACAGAAGAGGTAAAGGACTACACTTCCAAAAGGTTAGCATAATTATACTTTGGCATCCTCAAGTGGTTTATTCTGTCTAGTTGACAACAGACCCTGGATGCAAGACAGACATTTCTGGAGAGCTCCCGGGGGGGGGGCAACACCCAACTGAAGTACTCACAGTTTCAAGGTAACTAGGAGGGAGAATTATTAACTGAAAGGGTTTATGTGGTTTTTGAGGGTTTTATACTTTGAAAATGTGTGCGTATGTGTGTTTGAAATCTGGATAGCAAGATGAGAGACTGTATGCTTTTAGGAACCTGGGATGTGTCATGCAGACTCATTTCTTGAAAGCTACGCTTGGGTTTTGTGAAATATTCTGTACTTGCTACAAGAGACATTACAATCTTAAGAATGCAGAAGTGTCCAATGACAGGATAATGACTGTTATGGTGTTTCTGGAGGTGGGAGGACCCTGAGGGAAGGGAGGTAGGAAAGGAGAAACAGGAAGTGGGATGAGTAAGGCTCCAGGAATTGATAGCTGTACAGATGGAGTTTCAACATGTGCTTCCTTTAACTAACCTGACAATTCTCTAGCATGGTGGATCCTTTCATCTGGGAATTATTTTTCACTTCTGCACCTACTGGCCCTGAGAATGCAAATTCTTCCCAGACTACACTTTGAAGTAGATGTGGACTTTTAAAATTACTTTGTGATCTTAAAATCAAGTAAACTGAATTATTTGGACTGAAAGAATTTTTTGGTGATACAGTTGCCTCCAAGTTGTATTGCCCACATTTTCTGTTCTACAGCCATGATTTTGCCTTTAAAATGTTTTTCCTTTCCTTCTTCACTGTGCATGAAAGACACACACCAGGAACAGAAGGAAATTGGCTATACCAAACTGAAATTAACTATACCAAAAAATGGTCCAAATTATCATCAGATCTTCTGACCCTCATGGTATGCTGCAAAATACATTATTTAAGGGGAGCTACTGAAACAAAAAGAACAGCGTTAGGGGCAAAATGTAAATAAGGGGAAACTTGTTTTTATTCCTCTGCTACCTGGTTATTTTCTTCTTCTTCTTCTTCTTGTTATTATTATTGTAGTTTCCACTTCTTTTTTATTTACTGTATTTTAAAAATGTTAGGGGCACCAAGAATGTATATATGGCCCCTTGGCAGACAAGGTTCTTTGGGTGAATCTGATATCTTTTATTAGACCAACTTAAATAGTTGGAAAACAATTATTAAGCAAGTTTTCAGGTTCAAAAACCCTTCGTCAGGCTAAGGAAGTTTCAGCAGTTGGTGTTGTGCAGGCTGGGAGCGGTCCGAGGCCCTCGGGGGCGTGCGGCGGGCTGTGGCCAGCAGCCCTGGCACGCGGGTCGGGGAATGCAGGCCGGCAGACTAGAATTAGGCACGGACACGTAGTGGTTGATTAAAGATTATTTTACTTACACCATAGATGGTTGCGGTGCAGGCAGGAAGGCTTGCTTGAGTTGCAGTTAGAGACAGAAAAGAAGAGAAGCGGACAAGAGTTCCCTCCACGCGAACTCTAGCCCAATCCGGTTGAAGGTTCTAAAACCGTGAGCCCGTCGCATCAACCGAAGAAAACAACTCGGAGAAGAGCTCTGGATACACTCACACGAAGTTTGCTAGGCTCCGTGGAACTTGCGCGCAGGGAAGGGGTTCGTCGAGGGATCGTTCGGCGACGGGGAGAGGCCAGAGGTTGATCAGACCCCTATAGCCTTCTCAAGGTACACGCTGGGTCCAATAGGCTCCGCAGCGCTTAGAGATCTTCATGAGATGTGAAGTTCTCCTCCTCCTGATGGTTGTGGAGTCCTCCAACTTGGGCAGAAACCGCTCAAGCCTCTTATACGGCTAGCAAGCCAAT